TGCATATTTGTAGCTGCTGCACGGGTATTTTCAAGACCCAGATGCAGCCCATTGCTTCCAGTTGCATGTGACCATCTTCGCAATAATATGTTGCTATCCAATACACTGGCAAAGTTTGACGTATCTGATGCTCAAATTTTCGTTGAAACTAGACAACCACCCTCTTGAATGGGGACAGAATATGTCGTCGATTCACCACGTTTCGATACCAGGTGCCGGTATTAGTTGCATTAGTCCTGGGAACGCATCGAATGGGACGCCCGATTGAAGTAACTGTGGACCACCATGGAACCCACTGGGTTAAGTACGCTTCAAAGAAGCCAATCTGAGTGTGTATGAGTTGAACCGCAGTCACTAGATTCTGTGGTAACAGACATCCTGGAACTCCCGTCGGCGGTTGCATTTGTTCACGTAGTAGCAAATCGACAAAGCTATTATCTTCATTTAATTCACTCGGATCACCGAACCACTCCAGCCACTGCGCATTAGCCCATAGATTCGCCGATACATGCATCATTGGTCTCCAACGAATTGTGCGTACGTCATCTGAAGCCCACATTGTCCTTTGCTCATGTCCTGTTGCTGCTGCAATAGTATGACTAATAGCGGGTAAGAGTACGGCTTGATCAGGTAGCCACTGCTCCCGTTCAATCGCGTAGTACATTGTGGTAAGCAGGGCTTGCACTTAACCACGGCACTACATTTTGATAGGCTTAATCCAAACCAATGAGCTTGTGTATTTGGCGTTAGTGTAGCGCTCTTCGTCTCATTACCCTGCTCACAAACAGCACAATTGCCACCGGCATCAAAACGATTCTTGACTGCGTTTGTATGAATACTGCCCGCCTCGCTCTCCTGTAAAACCGACACAATCCTACCGTCCATTCTTTTGACTCGATCATGCTTACTTCACCCATCGAAATGGTGCGTCGTACGTCCGCTTTTTGGTCTTGGTGACGCATCCAACGTTTTCGTTGATCGTTCGCAACTCTCCGCTGCAGATATTGCAAAGTATTACCAAAAACTAGATTGCCGTCTTCGTCTTCCAACAAATAATCATTGTAGAGCAGCTAGGGTGCGTACGATGCCATCCTACTATAGTGATGACTCTCCGTAGCTGCTGCAGCAACGATAGCCAAACCCTGTCGACGCTGTCGGAGCTGATTATCCGCCGTAAACTCGCTTTCCCGATGGGAACACACCCTCACCATTCTCATCGAACCATCACGTCGCATCGCTCGACTTTAGACCGGACTTCAATTCGATGTACGGCATGGTACATCAGATGCTTTAGCTTACCATTTACGAGCGCTCGAGTCTTATTGAATATGGCAATAGCGCTTTTTTTATCGCAGACTTGTTCTCCAGTGTCCCCGTACAGTATTAGATCTGCCAAAAGCGCTTGGACCTCACATCGAGTCGAGGAGTTATCACTGCAGTGAATATGTAGCTGCCCCATAATCATGTTGCCTCCGGGTTGTTGAAATGCCCATCCGCCCTTCGCACTTGGCGTGTTGGCAGCTGTCGCTCACTTGAATAACACTCAAACCAGGTTCGTTGCTCCACGCATATTGAGCACTTGCATCACGTTTATCGTCAACGTCGTCGCTGTTACTAAATGGCGTACGACTTTCACCACGTATGCAATTAGGGTGATGCCAATAGCCACAGGAAAGACACCATTGTTCACCTCTGTGACGCTCAAATTCCGTACATGCGGTTAACATCTCCAGCGGGTGTCCATCAATTAACGTCGTGTTGTATCGGAGTAGGCTGCGCGGTTGCGCTTCTAGTAAATTGACTAAATCATTGACTCCACGCATCCCTTCAACCTCCGTAGTATTCCACAAGGTTATTCTATCCTGGCGTCTTCCACTACGAGGCAGATATGTTGGTGTCACTGGTACACACCCTCCCTCGTACTCATCCTCGCGCCGTCGATGTCTACGCTCATACCATATATCACTCCCCCTTGGCCGTTCGTACCACCACCTCACAGGAATTACTCGCCCGAGCGCCTGTTGAGTGTCATCAATATCGCTATACCCTAGTTCAAGATGAAGAATCCGAGGTTCTGGCCCTACTAAATCTAACTTTACTGCCACGACTCACTCGCTAGCACCGATTCGCACTTGGTAGGGAACCACAGCTTGTGGAACCGGTTCGCAGCCAACAGGTTCATATAATCTCAAGGTGCCTGCGTTCACTAACTGTGCTTCCCACAATACATAAAGTTGGTCAACTTCGCCGCGTTTGGCACCATTCCAACCTCCCTTAACCTGGAGCTCACGTCGTGTCAGTAATTATTTACCAAGTGCACCACAAATGTCTCCCACGTACTGTAACTTGAATGCTGTGTTCCAGTTCACTGCTACCAGAACTCGTTGAAGGTGACGGGGTGTAATTCCAAGCAACGGCCGATCATTTGAGCGTAAAGACTGCGTAGCGGATGGTTGGTTCCACTTCGCCACTATTCAAAGTGGCGACTCGAGTTTTGACGCAAACCTTTTAATCTGTGCTTCCCACGTCGTAATTTGAACCGACGGTAAGACAGGATCACTTAACGGGTGATATGTAATGCCTGCATTAACCTGGTATGCTTCCAATCTTTCTATCAAAACGTGGTGCACGGGTAGGTTCGGGTCGTCGGGAATGATAATAAATGGGTTCACGCACTCGCGAAGTGTGTAGGTATCGACAAGGACTATACAGGACCATTTCTATTGCTCGTGTGGACAGAACCATATTTGGGTTTTTATTTGAGCTGGATAGGTGAGTAGGATGGTCAAAGTACCGTGACTCCTACTACACACTATATGTGTCGTGTCACGAACTCTGCCGAGTTCGAGCTCGGGTGATACTCAAGTGGCAAGTTTAAGAATGAATTAAGTGTGTAAACGATAAAGGAAGCTACTTACAGCTCACGGTGCGCTGTGGAGTGGCGAATTATGGGTGATAGCTGCATGAAAATGAGAACGTCTTGTGTGCCGTGAAGATGAATCAGACAGCAGCCAAAAGAAGTTGTGGACTCCATGGTGTACTGTCACACTCCCTCCTTCAGGAACGCGGCGTAGTGATTGCTTGAGCCGTTTGAGAGCGTATCCGAGGCCGTGATGATTTGGTGCGAGCATGGAATGCGTCGATAAGCCCGCGGACTTGGATGAGTGATTCGGTAGGTTCCCATGAGCCCTTGTTCGCACTGCAATACCAACGAATGAAATATTCGTCGGCACCACCACGAACTCGATGCATTATATTTTCCTTGACCCGCAAACCGAGGCTTCCATCGTGTGTAATCAAGGCTGGAACGCGGTTGTCTCGAGTACCGGAGTCGTCTGGCGTGTAGCGTCTTAGTCGAGATGCATGAAACTCGTCGTGGTATTTGAGATCTGGTGGAAGACCAATCTTGTATGTGTCGGGGGTCGTCATGTTGAGAACAGGGTATGGTCCGATATACTTCGGGGCCAGTATCCGCTTTCCATCATTGCCGACGTGGTGAAGAGCCAAGTTGGAAGTATCGAGCAGTACCTGATCGCCAGCGCGAACCGAAGCGGTTGGCCGGTTGCGGTCGTAGTAGAACTTCATCCACAGTTGATCTTGTTCTAGTTGCGTCTTGGCATTCGGTCAGGAAGGTTTGTTGCGTGTCCACGAATCGAGAGGCAGATCGAGGGCCGTCGCGAGTTGGAACGACTAAGTCACTCACGCAACGTGGTAAATACGCTAAATCGGCGACGAATGGAGCCATTCTGATGCTGTCGTGGCCGTGAGAACTGTACGCACATTCGGCCATCGCAAGGAATTCGTTCCAATCGGTCTGGTATGGGTTGACGTAGGTGCGCAAGAAATCGCCAAGAAAACGGTTTGTGATTTCTGTCTGGCCGTCCGTTCAGGATTTGAAGGCGTAGCTCGGTTTTAACTTGGTGTCTTGCAGGTCCAGCAGTTTTGCCCAGAATTTAGAGGTAAACTTCGAGTCTCGATCACACACAATAGACACTGAAAGTCCATAAAGACGTTGAAAGTTATCCCGGAAAAGCTTCGCTGTGGCCTCCGCTGTGGCTGTTGATTTAGTCGCGAAGCAGTGATCCCTTTCGTAAGGCGATTCACGATCACCATCACAGCATTGTGACGATGGGGCTTCGTCTCTGGGAGCGACATCACGACGTCCATGGTAATGTGCTTCCATCGACCCTCCGGAACGTCTAAAGGATGCAGGAGTCCTTGTGTTTTGCTTCGAGACGGCTTCGTCCGCATGCACATTTTGCACGTAGCGCAGTATGATCGAATATCACGAGCCATTGACGGCCAATAATACTTTTGCTGCATGAACTTCAAAGTTTTCGACGAGCCCGGGTGTCCTCGGACAACCGAATCGTGCTCTTCAAAACGAATGCGGTCACGAAGTTCACGATTATCGGGAACACAAAGTCGCCAATCTTGCGAAGAATGTGAACGAAAGAACAGTTTTTTAGTTCGTAATGGTCAATGTTCCCGCTCTTGGGTAGCTCAGCATCAGGGGCTGCTTCGCTGTTGAGCTTGGCTCGTAATTGCTTCACGATGGAGCCAAAACAATCGTCACTTTCGTATAGTTCTGAACATCTTTCTTGTATATTGCTGGATGGTCCGCGATGGTGGATTACGTACAGGTGGGTTGAAACGCCATTGGTTTCATTGTCACCATTGATGTGCTTCAACAGTGCAGCGAGAGAAATGGCAGTCGTGTCCTGCTTCCAGCTGGGATTTCGAGAGATGAAGTCAGCCACTACGTTAGAGTCTCCTTTGATCCATTTGAAAAGTGGTTGGTACATTTCGAGCTCGTTGAGCCACCTTGCGAGCCGTTGAGAGCAAGTCTTCTGCTGAAGGATGGGTTCGAGCGTGCGATGATCCGTGCTGATCATGAACGGCTTGTCGATGAGATACACATGCCAAATGCGCATCGCAAACAGAGCTGCGAGAAGTTCTTTTTCATGTGTTGGGTACTTCAGCTCTGCCTCACCGAGTTTTCAGCCGCCATAACCAATGACTCTCTCTTTGCCTTCGTCGTCGAATAGGTACAGATAGCCACCGACGGAAAAGTCAGATGCGTCCTTTTTCACGCAAAACATTCGGTCAAAGTCGGGATGGACTATAACGGGAGGCTTGGAGAGTCTGCACTTGAACTCTTCAAAGCACTTTAGGTGCAGCTCGTTGAACTGGAGTTGTTTAGTCGAGTCTTCCCCTTTGTCATCTCAGTGAGCGGCGCCGAATATTCTGTGAGTCTGGGCAGTATTTGAGCACATATACACAAGTGCCGAGGAACGACTGTAGTTCACGCTTCGTGCGAGGCTTTGGCCAGTTCTGGATCACTTCTCACATTGTCGGGGTCCATCCGAATGTCATGGATTCCGATGAAGTCGCCTAGACAAGGTATCTCCCAGGCGCAGAATGTACACTTCGACAGCTTGATGTACACCCGTTCCTCCTTGCACCTCTCAAGAACCTTTTCTAGGGCAACAAGGTGATCCTCCATATCGTTTGTCTCGGTGTAGACAAACAAGTCGTCGAAATAGGCCTTGCAGAAGCTGCTCTGATCGGCAAAGACTTTCTGGATCAGGCGATTGAATGCTTCAGGGCTACACGAGAGGCCCATGGGAGTCACCAAATATTCGAACTGTCCGTCCGGTGGCGAAAACGCTGTATACGGTACGTCCTGTTTCCTCAAGCGCACCTGAAAGAATCCCCACAAAAGACCATGGCTCAGAAAATCTTGCCTTTGCACATGGAGTCAAAAATGTCTTCCTTCCGCGGAATTGTCGTAGCTGGAAGTTGAATCTTGGCGTTGATGCCTCTGAAATCGTGAACTACTCGCCAGTCCACCGCCTTCTTAACGCAAAAGGTTGGTGCTGAGTAGGGTTATTTCGAATGCCGAATAATGCCAGCTCACGAATTGCGGTCTTTATTTCTTCGCTGAGCCGGTACAGCTTTCTTGCTACAGGTTCATCATCTACCAGTTCGATTTCGGCTATGATGTCCACGCTACGCGTTCGGGGTACAGTAGGAAGCTGGTTCGGAAGACGACATCTTTGTACTTGAGCAGGAGTGATTCGGCAGGGTGTCCGCTAAGTGCGTCCCAGTCTTGAGCTAATTGCCGGTCTGCTTTAGCGCTGTCAATATCACGCTGAATCACGAAGCAGAATTCGTTGCCTTTTTCTCGCAGTAGTTTTTTTTCAGATCTTTGGCTGCTACAACACGAGTTAATCCTTGTACACTGTCGAAATCATGACGCATGTAAAAGTACTGGAGAGCATAGTCCTCACACGTAGAGCGGCCATTTCTGTGGCGTTGATAGTCGACCCTACGAGCTGGAGCATGTCGTAACCACTGTCGAAAGGAGACTGCGGACGACTAGGCATCGCTGGGAAATGATATTGTTCGGCTCGCCCAGTCGATGTTCGGGTTCACTTGCCCAAACCATGGCCATCCTAATAGAGCGTTTTTGTCCTCTGGAATGGGCATAACGTACATCGACGACGTGTACTCGGGAAAGCCTTCGATATTAACGGTAAGAACAGCTTCCTTCCGCGGGATTGTGATGCGTTGGTTGTGTCCGATTTTCACTGATAGCGGTTTTGGGCATTGTTTGACTTCGATGTCCAGCTTTTCAGCTAGCTTTGGGGAGATAGCGTTGAAAGACGACCCGCTGTCCACGAAACACTTCGGGACTTGGTTGTGAATTCGTGCGTCTTGGGTCAAATAGCAGTATAGTTTGTCCGAATGAAACGCTAGGCGTGTTGAGCTGCTACTGCTAGTGGCTTCGCCAGACAATGGCGGTGCAGAAAGCTTACTGCCAGAGCTTCCTAACCTTGTTGGCTCGGTAGGTTGCCACCCTACCGAGCTGGGCCGTTTTTGACCATCCAGAATCTGCAGCAGTGGTGGTATCGCGTGGCTTCGTAGGGTACTCGTCCTCCGTGTGGGTTTTCCTCTTGCGGTAATTGCACTGCTGCACCGGGTTGTCCTTGGAGGCGTTCTGTTTCGACTTGTTGTTGCCTTGGCTACTATTGTTGGCTTTGGCGTTCTGGTTTGCCGGCTCTTTTGCAGGAGGCCGCGTACTAGCGGGCTTTGTGTCCTCAAACGCTGTGCCATTTTGATGGCTTGCTCGAGAGCGTCAGGCACATTTGGCGAGATGTACGCCGACGTGTCCGCACGCAGATTTTTCTGAAAGAATCAGCGCTTGACGCCTTCAGGCAGTTCAGTGTCCACTTGCGAAAGCAAGTGCAGGAAGTGAGATGTGTATTCCTGCTTGGACTTATTAGCCTTCAGCTCGTACATTTTGGTCAGAGTCTTGAACTTAAAGGCCTTGTCGCGGAAGCGCGCTCGGATACGCTCCTTGAAAACACTCCATGCAAGTGGATCGGCCCCAAGCGATATCTTCACATCACTATACCATGCTTGGGCGTCCGTGCCGAGGTTGGCAAAGACCATGTCCTAGAAACTCGACGAAAAGTCGTGCATCTCCGTAAGGAACTCGGAGTAATACCCCTCTGTGGAGAAAATCCAAAGCTCCAAGTCGTCCTGATCGTTGCCACCAAAGCGTTGTGGATCGGCCTTCTTTCGAGATGGTCTTGGGCGCTTTTGAGCCTGCAGTGTCTGCTGCTGGATCTGCGTCGTCTGCGCCAGAAGTTGAGTCATCTGCGTCGCTTGTTGTTGCATAGTATGCGGCGTGTGCTGCAGCGGTTGCACCAACATGTCAGGCGTTAAAAATGCCTGCGCGGAATATGGCGTTGTTGATGAGCCTTGTGCCGTAGCGTCTTGAGCTGAGGTGACTTGTTCACCTTGCCTATTTGCTGTAGTTGGTGGGGGAGGGGTGTAGCCTTCCGGAGGCACATCCCATCGGGCTCCTCGCGGATTAACTCGTGGGCGCTGCTGTGTGCGCCCGTTGAGCGTGCCCAAATCCGCTGCTGCTGACATCGCTCTCTTGGTAATAGTTAATTAGATGTCACGAACCCTGCCGAGTTCGAGCTCGGGTGATCCTCAAGTGGCAAGTTTATGAATGAATTAAGTGTGTAAACGTTAAAGGAAACTACTTACAGCTCACGGTGCCCTGTGGAGTGGCGGATTATGGGTGATAGTCGCATGAAAATGCGAACATCTTGTGTGCCGTGAAGATGAATCAGACAGCAGCCAAAAGAAGTTGTGAACTCAATGGTGTACTGTCCATGTCGCCGACAGATTTACTGATCAGTAGAATGTGAGAGGTACTACATCATTTTATAACCTACTCAAGTGGGTCTGCGACTCCGTAGTGCTACGGAGTCGAGGACATGACGTTTGGAATATTCGAAAAATCTCCGGTCCCAATACGTTCGTCGCTTTGTCCAGCAAAAGAATTGATTGGTCTGAAATGACAAGTAGTTTCGATTCAAGTTCGAACCACGTAGCCAGTTACCGTTGAGCATGAGCCCTCAAAGCCGATGTCTCGATTCGTAGAAGTGGTGAATTGTTCATTTTCTCATTGAAACGCGAGAAAAATCCGGTTCACGTATTCCGGCGCGTTTAGTCGAATCCTTTGTGGCTGCATCTGTGATCAACAGACGTATGTTAATATTGATTGAAGCGCGGCATTAACATCCAATAGAGAACTCGTGAATTCTGCTCGATTTTGCAATATCTAGGGAGTATATTTTCTGGTCAATAATGCACGGCATTTTACCTTTAATTAACGCTGTAACTGCGGGATTTATTCTGCATTATACAGAATACTACTGTAGTAGTAACTCAAGCGGGATTAGCTTATTCCACTAAAATATGCAGCCGGATCTGGATACTCAATTTGGGTTTCGTATGGAATTATCTAGTTTAGGTCAGAATTAGACACAACAAGGAATATGATTAAACCAGAATTATCAATTTGGGTTTCGTATGGAATTATCTATTTTAGGTCAGAATTAGACACAACAAGGAATATGATTAAACCAGAATTATTATGAGAGACAAAATGTTAGTTGCTTCCAAATAATAACTTTACCTGCTCCATACACCTCCCGAAACAATACAGTATGGATTCTTGACCTCTTATTCGGATAAATTACCCTTGTGCACTGGTTCGAATCGATAACAGCGCATTATCAAGCACTCGAGCTGTATCCTGTATATTTCCAAGCAACTTCAAGAACGGGGTTACCAAATCGGAACTGTGGAGCATGCTTAGAATCCTGTGTGATACAAAATCGCATGTAAATCGAACTGTTGCGGGGATCACAAGTTGTTGCCCAACAAGTTGTGTTGCGAGTCGAGATGTTTCAGGATCCTTGTTCTGATCGCTGAAATATGGGAATTCGCGGCGTAACATCTCTTTCGTAATTGTAATCTATGTCTTGACGCTTGCCACTACCGCGTTTTCCTCGTCGCATTCCAGCCGTAAAAGACGCACGGTGACATCGTGATTAACGTGGTGCATAGCTAGCCACTGTTGAATAAGGGTGTCCACCCCGACTCCATCGTTAAGAAGGACATCGGGGACCATGACACTGTGCACGAATTTTAACTGGATATCACCTTGTTCGGACGTTGGCATGGAGGTGGAAATTGAAGGTTGATACCCTTTGAAACCATTGCGGAAAAGACGGTAGTATTCCGATACGACATTCCATGGAGTTGGAGTTGTAGGCGGGTTAAATAAAAATAAATTGCGCTCCAATTCATGTTGCTCAATTTGTCGGCGCAGTCGTTTTACGTCGTGCTCCAGCGCCAATGCAATTAGGGCAAATTTTTCCCTGTATCGTTGTTGACTTTGTCTTCGTTTTTCGCGTTCGCGAGCGTAGCTTCGAGATAGATCATCCAACTGGAGAGGTTTGGAGAATTTTAGCTATGATCTGCTGCTGTCTTTCGGCAGCATCCACGACTGGTGATGAAGCATTCGTTCGGCGAGGGTTGACGCAAATGTTATTGATACCTGCCACTGGGAATTTTGTACTTGGCTTGAACCGCGAGTTGTTCCCGTTTGTAGGTGAAACTAAATGGTCACAAGATGATGCAGTTGATTCCGAGTGGGCATGCGCTGCTATCGCCATTTGTGTTGACCTGGATGTGTCATTGGTTTTCACGTCCGTGTACAGGTATTGCCCGGCAACGACTTGACCAAACCGGCGACCTCCTGTGCGTTGTACTACTTCGCCAATGATGTTATCATCAAATTGTTGGGGCGGGGAAAACTTGCTTACTCTCATGCGGTATGTAAGAGTTCGTAGGTTGCTAAATGGGAAGTTATCACGTACTGATGATCCGAAGTTCGGATTCAAACACCTGGGCCACGAAGGATACGCTGACGTGGTGACGTGATAACCTTCAACGATTGGATAACATCCGGATTTATTTTGTGGCAACTGATGTTACCACAGATTGTGATCGCCTAACCGTCCAAACACTGTTGGGCAAACTTTTTTTTCGTATAGTAGCAAATGAGTACGCTTGAACTCTCGCGACATCAATGTGAAACAACAATTGATAGATATCGGACATGCTATTGGCTTCACGTTCAGTGTTTTATTGAGTGCCCTACCAATACTTGTAGGGAGTAATGTGTTCTTGCGTAAAGACATGGCCAAGGAAAATAATTTGGGACACCGAACGAACGTAATACAGTATGCTTGGATCATGATTCCAATGAAAAGTACCGACAGTTAACTAACCAGTTTTACGTTTCCCCTGGTCGTGTTGAATCGACATAGTAGCAGTCACTATCCGGCGTGATGAAC